CCAGAGGGGCACCCAGGAGCCGCTTCTCCCGTTCTCATTGTTGAAAAAATTTTGTCAATCGCGTTGAGAGACCAACTGACCAGGTCCATTTTAGTCATTTCAGTTTCCAGTTTTCCAGAAAAAATGCAGAAGCGCTGTACACCCAGAGACAGACAAAGAGGGAGGAGAGGAGGAAAAAAGCGTCTGTACTCTCCAAGAGCCGGAAGAAAAACTTAAAATAAAAATCAGATCATTTATTACAGCATCAACATATTACCTGCAGGGAAATTGATCTTATATATAAAATAATAATTATTTCTCTTTAAACCAATAGTTTTTGTCAAAAGTGGATTCATGGCTTCTATAAATTACTGATATTTATAATCTCTCCTTATTCTTATCTGACTATGCTCATTTTCTCCCATAATGTATCGATGCAATACGATGTTTCAGATTAGATTTTAATCTCATGGACGCACCGCCCTGCTGCAGGCCTGACCGGTGAAACGCACACGTGTTTTCAGGCCAGCGTGAGAGAAGTGTTGCAGCTCACACCTCGTCCTCTGCTTCCTCTGTAGTAACAGATTAGATAATCCCGCCATTGTTTGGAGCCTGACTCCAAACACGTGACCTTTAACGGCTTCCTGCATCATTTAAAAGTTTGTCTTTAATAAATGACTTTGATTTGTCAGTCTTTGTTGCAGGAGGGCTTCTCAGTGCAGGAATGTTGACTGAACAGTTTTCCTTCAACCTCAGCTAACGCGAGGATTGAATGTGCTGCACCAGCTTTTCTGGAAAGATGAGTGAGTCAGGAGGCTATTGTTGGTGGGAACTGGTACAAGCAGCTTTGTACCAATGGAAAGTCGTGAAAAATAAATCTTTGTTTTAGGAACCACCTCTGGATTTAAACACACCGCTGTGATTGGATGATTCTTTTCCTCAGTAACAGAAACAATAATTTCACTTAATGGAGATGGGTTCACTAGTGCATCATTTAGTAAAAAGGTCTGAATTAATTTGTTCTTTTGATGCAAAAAGGATGAAAAATTCTGGTTTCTGAAAATTTCCTGTCTTTTACTTTGCACACACTGAATTATCCTTGCACAGTTTTTTTTACCACAAAATGTGCACATATGCATCTATTCATATCGTGCATCAGGAAGCTGCGCGTCATCCAGTAATAAGAGGGTTGCTGGTTCCATCCCAGCATTCTGCCACTGGGATTTTGGGGACATCAACTGCCTTCCTGCCTCACTTCTATGTAAGTCACTTTGGATAAAAGCGTCTGCCAAATGCTTAAACAAATATTTGTATTTTAATAGAGTCTAACTGGACTGAGGGCTTTTGTCAGCTGCAGTTTGTTCATCCTGAAATGTGCTGAAAGCTGCAAGAAGATGCTGCAGAAGTGAAGATGCTAGCAGTGTGTGCTTCCATCCATCCATCCATTTTCATCCGCTTATCCGGAGTCAGGTCGCGGGGGCAGCAGCCTAAGACTTCCCTCTCCCCAGCCACTTGGGCCAGCTCCTCCGGGGGAATCCCAAGGCGTTCCCTGGCAGTCCCTCCAGCATGTTCTAGTTTTGAACTCGTTTTAAGTATTTTCTCCCTTTTTCTTTTTATTCCTTCATCATTTTTTCAAAATAAACTTCTGGTTTTAGTTGCAAATCAACACTTAAACATGGTCACTTGACCCACAAAGAGCTTTGCCCTCCCTGCCTCATGTTTATCACAGCTGCTGAATTTCCCCGAAGCAGTAGAAAAATGAACCGAACATTGTGCTCTTCTGGTTTCTGACTCGGTTCTTTTGGATCCCAGATGAAATACTTTTGACCCACTAACAAAAATGGAAAGAGATAAAGTCTTTAACCACTTCCTGTAGAAAAACTCCCAGAATGCATCTCCCAGATGTGGTTACACAAACAAAAACGCTTCCAAGGCTGTGATCTTTCCCATAACCTCCAACTCTCATCTCCTGGTGCACATATTTCTCTTTTTCTCCCTCTATACCAACAAGTTTCTGTTAAAATTCAAAACTCAGCTTTTCTCTGGATATTTGATGTTGATAAACTTGGATTTATTTATTGCTTTTGTTCACATTATTTTCATTTTCTTTGTTTTTGAGATATTTTTCTGTACGAAGAGTCCGTTTTTAGTTTAGTTGCAATGAAACTATTTTCAGTTTGTGGCTTAAAAAAAACAAAGGAATAAATCTTTGGGATCTTTAAATCTGGGAAGTGACACGATAGGTTGTGATGGGGTTTTGCGGAGGTGGAGCTGGTAACTGCAGACCAAACAGACCTGAGAGCCCCTCTGGGCCACTCAAGGACCCAAAGGGAAAGTGTGTGTTTTTATGTGACGAATGCGGCACACACACACCAGCGTGGCTTGAGTTTTTAAAATATTTCATTTTTTAGGTGCCTGTAGAGGCTTATCTGAGTCAGGGACGTCTGGATTCCTGCTGGACAGCAGCTTCCATGGCTGCCATAGTGAGAGTAACGCTGAGAGACTCAGCGATGGCTACCTGATACACTCTGCTCTGAGATGTTATCTGGGAAATGCTTGGCTTCAACTTGGATAACTCCTGTCTGCTGGTGGGTAGAGTTTTGGGACCTAAAACAAACACATCCTGTTTGAGTGGAAGCATTGCTTTTTGTCTGAGGCTAAATTTGTCCCTGTGTACCGGAAAATCCACCTTTCCATAACGTCCCAGTCCAGACATTTGTGGATAATCAGAACTAGGGCTGGGCAATGCATCCTAAAATGAATATCACAATATATCGAAGATTTCACCTCGACAACGATAAATCGACGATAACTATGCACAGAAACAAAAGTTGCCCACTAGATGGGGCTGTCTCGTGTATTACGTTGAGTCACACTTTTACGTGACTCAAGGTGGTAGAGCTTCTTAAAGGGACTTGAACGCTGCCAACACAAATATTAAAAAAAAATTATTATCAAATTTATTGTCATGGAAAGAATTATCCCATGACTGAACCTCCCTGGTGATGTCTATTCCGGGGTTCTGGAGAGGAGAGTGTGGTGGATTGTCGAACCTCGGATTCAGAAAAAGCAATGTGGTTTTTGTCCTGGCCTTGGAACACTGGACCAGCTCTATACCCTTAGGGGGATCCTGGAGGGTGCGTGGCAGTTCGCCCAACCAATCTACATTTGTTTGTGGATTTGGAGAAGGCGCTCGATCGCGTCCCTCTGGGGCCCTGTGGGGGGCAATAAGGGAGTACGGGGTACCAGGCCCTCTGATACGGGCTGTTAGGTCCCTGTATGACTGGTGTCAGAGCTTGGTCTCGTTTCCGGCAGTAAGTCGGGCTCGTTCCCAGTGAGAGTTGGACTCCGCCAAGGCTGCCCTTTGTCACCAATTCTGTTCATAACCTTTATGGACAGGATTTCTAGGTGCAGCCAAGGTGTGGAGGGCATCCGTTTTGGTGGCCTGAGGATCAGGTCTCTGCTTTTTGCAGATGATGTGGTCCTGTTGGCTTCATCAGAACGTGATCTTCAGCTTTCGCTGGAGCGGTTCACAGCCGAGTGTGAAGCAGCTGGGATGAGAATCAGCTCCTCTAGATCTAAGACCATGGTCTTGAGTCTGAAATGGGTAGAAAGCCTTCTCCGGGTCAGGGATGAGGTCCTGCCCCAAGTGGGGGAGTTTAAGTATCTCGGGGTCTTGTTCCTGAGTGAGAGAAACGTGTAGCGTGAGATCGATAGGTGCTGCATCTGCAGTGATGCGGGCGTTGTACCGGTCTGTCGTGGTGAAGAGAGAGCTGAGTCAGAAGGTGAAGCTCTCGATTTACCGGTCGATCTCCGTTCCTACCCTCACCTATGGTCACGAGCTTTGGGTAGTGACCGAAAGAACGAGATCGCGGATACAAGCGGCCGAAAGGAGTTTAGAGATAGGAATGCGAATGAGCAGAAGAGTCTTATTGCTGTTAGCCAATCAGAGGCGAGATGTTTGCATATCATAAATATTATTATTATTGATATGGATATTATACAGTCAGGTCCATAAATATTGGGACATCGACACAATGCTAACATTTTTGGCTCTATACACCACCACAATGGATATCAAATGAAAGGAACAAGATGTGTTTTCACTGCAGACTGTCATCTTTTATTTGAGGTATTTACATCCAAATCAGGTGAACGGTGTAGGAATTAGAACAGTTTGCATATGTGCCTCCCACTTGTTAAGGGACCATTCATTTGATATCCATTGTGGTGGTGTATAGAGCCAAAAATGTTAGCATTGTGCCGATGTCCCAATATTTATGGACCTGACTGTATAATCCATTTCTCTCTCTCTCACACACACACACACACACACACACACACACACACACACACACACACACACACACACACAAACACAAAGATTGAATGAGACCATAATGAGGTAAATTGCATAATTAAGTACAGAAATCAGAAATATCAAATCAATTCAAAATTTGTAAATCTTTTATTTTGAATCTGTTTTGAAGGAAACAGGAAAAGAATGAAGTTTGTGTCCGAACAGGGAATCTTACCGATCGGGGACCAGCTGCTGTTTTTGAGCCTGGACTAGTTTGTTCTGTGAAGAGATGAATTGCGTTTTTTGCTGTGAACTTTTGTGTTTTATGGTTGTTTTTTCTCACTTCTCAGAGTTGCTGTTGGGGTGTAGATGTGTCTGAGAGAAGCTCGGTTTTTTCTGTACTCTTGAGCTTCTCCCATGACTGCTCAGCTGAGTCCCTCCAATAATCCCATCAGGCATTCAGCCGAGCTGGAAAATGTCCGAGCTTCCAAGGGAAGAAATGTGCTGAGATTGATCAGTTTGTGTTTGACCTCTGCAGGTTTGTTGGATGGAGCTGTGGTCTGAGGGCAAAGCCTAATCTGACTGGGATGTTTTACACCGGATGATGCAAAAAATATTTATCTTTAATGAGCAAAACAAACTCAAATAACCTTATTTTCCTCTTCTGCTGCTTCTTCTTAGAGATCCTCTAAATGTTTTGTGCATCTTTTTTCTGTTTCAGCAACATTTCATCATGGAATCACGCAGACGTTAGGACTCCAGCTCTGATTTTTGTAAAAGACACAAGCGAAGGCAGACGTAGGAGAAGCACGCGTCGTTAAACGCAGCGGACTCTGGTGCCGATGGGCGAGACGGAGGACGAGCGCACGGCTCGGGCCAGCCAGCTCTTTGAGAACTTTGTCCAGGCGTCCACCTGTAAAGGGACTCTGCAGGCCTTTAGTATCCTCTGCAGGCAGCTGGAGCTGGATCCTCTGGACCACAGCAGCTTCTACGGCTCGCTGAAAGCAGCAGTCAGCTCCTGGAAGGTCAAAGCTTTGTGGACTAAACTGGATAAAAGGGCCCAGCAGAAGATCTACAGCCAGAATAAAGCCTGCCAGGGCACAAGGGTAAGAAAACCGGCTGGGCCCGTCTGGAAACTCCAGAATTCTGTGGATTCGGATGCAGACGGCGGCCCAAACAGGGTGGAAGCTGATGCTTGTCTGTGCTGTTGGACTGCGCTTGTCTGCATATTTTAAGCAGCACTTAAGTGTTGGAAAAAACTTCTGAGGGGCAGATAAGGTGTTGGGCTGGAGGACTTGGAGAAGGGTTGGGCCACAAAAAAACAAGTGAAATATTATTCTGCACTTTATTCCCTCGCAGAAAAATCGCTCGCTGAATTAATGTGAATGATATTAATAATCTAAATGAGGGCAGATTTAGCCTAAATACTTATGCAGGGTATCTGCGGGTCCTTAAAAAGTCTTAAAAGGTCTTAAATTTGCTTTTCAAATTTTAAGGCCTTAAAAATCCTTAAAAATTACAAATAATCCTTAAATACAGTTTCCAAAGGTCTTAAATTACCAAAGACCCACTAAACAAGATTCTTTTATTTCAATAAAAAGTTTGTGAATTTCTAGTTGGTGTTCAGGATTTTTTGTGTACGATGTTGCCGTAAGCGGAACCGTACACATTCAGTTGGTTGTGAAAGGGGGCTATTTTTAGATGAGCGCATTAGCTGGTTAAGCTAGTGGGAGCTTGCGCCATGGGGAAGTTTAATGGTAACTGGACGGCTAATCCCACGTTCGCGACATGGTTAGCACCGGTTCCAGGCAATAGCTGGAAATTATAGCTTAAATTTAATTTTAAAAATAGCTTAAATTTGGTCAAAGTGGCCTTAAAAAGGTCTTAAAAAGTCTTAAATTTGGCTCCCTTAAACCTGCAGATACCCTGTTATGTTTACTTAACTGTGAATTTCTGTTAAATTTTACTCTCCAAAACGATAAAAGACCAACAATTTTTCTTCTTAATTTAGTCATAAAATAACAAACTTTGCTTCAGTTTGGAAACGAGAACCTGAGAAAACTTAAATAAAGCTTTTTCTTATGCAGAATGTAAACTGAGCCAAAATACACTAAAATCAATATTATTTATAGATCATTTTAATTGCTTTTATAAAGAAAAAAAAACATTTCAGCATCATCAAAACTCCACAAATGACAAAAGAGTGCTGTTAAAATTTAATTCAAACACTGATGCTCTTAGAGTCTGATCATCGGTGGGGGTCCCTGTGGTCTGCGGACAGCCATCGAGCTGGCCCTGCTGGGCTGCAAGGTGGTGGTGATTGAGAAGAGGGACACCTTCTCCAGGAACAACGTCCTCCACCTCTGGCCATACACCATCCATGACCTCAGGGCTCTCGGGGCCAAAAAGTTCTACGGCAAGTTCTGCGCCGGCTCCATCGACCACATCAGTGAGTGTTACCCGCATCCCTCCACACGCTAACGAGGCCATCTGTAATATGTGGTTATACTGAGCCCAGATGAGTGCTTCAGCAAATCCGTGCGTTTTTTTCCCCAACAACCTAGTTTTCTGTTCTTTTCTGGCTTTACTTCCCGAGTGAGATGTTTTCACTGACGCTGGTTGCTCTCCAGCTTTAGTAACGGTGTCACGTATTTATATCTGAGGGCGAGTTTACAGAGTGCACGGACACGCGACGTCCTGCAGAAACTAAATGACCTAAACCTGTTGTTCAACGATTCCGATCCAGAGTGATACGCGCTCTCTCCAGGTATCCGCCAGCTGCAGCTGATGCTGCTGAAGGTGAGCCTGATCCTCGGAGTGGAGGTCCATGTCAACGTGGAGTTTGTCAAACTTGTGGAGCCTCCAGAGGAACAAACAGATGACGGTGAGTCTTAATGGGTTCAGGCTAAGTAAGTACAGCAACAACTGCATTTCGTAGAAGAGGGAAATACTAGTTTGAATGCTGAAGCAGGATGTGAAATGCATATTTTAAGTCATAAAAATGGTAGATGTGTGTTTAAATGAAAGGATCCCGGTGGGGAAGGGTCGTGAGGGACAGAGACATGCACCCAGAGACTTGCCTGCATATCTCGGCTATAAATGGAAAGCTCCTCGCATACGTGGAAATGATCAGATAAACTCTAAAGACGGTGGAAAAGAAATCCATTGATAACATTTGCTGTTCACATTTTCTTGGGAATTATCAAACCCTTGAGGAGAAGCACGTGTGATGTGTTGTGTTCCTCAGGCCCCGGGTGGCGAGCAGAGATCCGTCCCTCCAGCCATCCGCTCTCAGACTTCGGCTTTGACGTGGTGATCGGAGCAGACGGGCGCAGGAGCACCTTAGATGGTGAGACGTGACCAGAGCTCACAGC